ACGTGAGATAACTGCCAGTGTCTCTGAAAGTAATTATCTCAGTTAGATGTGATTCGTCAAGTCCAGCTTTGCCTCTCGATAAGTAAGGACTCATCGCTGAACGAATCTTTCAGTCAGATACACTTTCTGACACTAGTCATCTATTCTGAGTAATATTATCTAAAACAGTGGAATCAGAGATATTACTAGAATTTTGGTGCCTTTGTTGCACAGAAGTCGATACAACTTGTGTGGGGGCGCCAGTCGCACGACTGCTTCTTGCATCTCTTTCTAACTTATAGCAATACTCTCTAGCATGTCCTTTTCTGTTACAATAGGTACATTTAACTTTCTTCTTCTCGGTAACAGATTTCTGTCTAACCACAGAGACAGATTCAGGATTTTGAGTATTCCTGGTAAAGGTAACGAGAAGATACAGTAGCAGGTACATCACACTGGCACTGATCAGCTGATTTAGGTTGCCAACTTCTAGGACAATTTTTAGTTACCTTGCTTCTCTGTGTTTTAGTACATACAAGTTTGTGAGAAATCTCATAATTGTCTGCTAATGCTGCAGTTTCCAGAATATTCGAGGCAGTATGATCGATCAGATATTCTTGTATGTCAGCAGACATACAGTTGTAAAACTCTTCGTGAAGTAACAACTGAACCAGACTGTCATAATTATTACACTTAGCGGCTCTGCACCACCTCTCAAATGCAACTTTTTTCTCACGAGCAAACTCTACACAAGTTTGATCTTGTCGTCGCTGTAGCGTACAAAATGCACGTTGATAACTTACAGGTAACAAGTTATATGTCTCTAGAATAGTTTCCTTGACAGCGTCATAACTAATGTACTTGGCAAATGGTAAAGCAGCAGTACAAGTTTGAGCTCTTCCTGTCAATGCTGTGTGCAACAAGGTAGCCCAGTACTTACGTGGCCAGTTCATAGCACGTGCCTGGTTCTCAAACACATCAAAATAGGTGTCTAAGTCACTCTCAAAAAACATAGGAACCATTGAGGCAGCTTTCTGCACATTAAATGTGTCCTGTGTTGTACTAACAAGTTTATCAACTTTGTCAGATCTATCAGTCTGTTGTCTTCCGAGATGAACATTTTCTCTGGAAATCTTCTTCATTCAATTTCCTCTGTGCCTCTATTTGTGCAGTCTGCAACACAATGAGGCGTTCCATCCTCTCAAATTGTTCCTCAGAAATAGGACCAGTGGGTAATGGAGGAGTGGGGAAATTAACATGTCTTTCCGGACGGTCCTTAGGTCGGGCACCTTGTCCAGCCATCCCTGGAGAGTCTAGATCTGGTCTAGGATAAGTTGATACAGGAGTAGCATACACGGTACTAGTATGAGGCTGAGTCATACTACCAGCTGCACACCGTACTATTGTGTTAGTCAGGCGGGAAGGTGTGAGCTTGAACAGGGTTACACTAGGCTCAGACACTTCTGCTGTAGTTGCTCTCTCTTCTACGTCATCAAATAGAGTCATATCTCCTAATTGTGACACTAGGCTCTCTGTATCTGAATCATTATCAGACATCTCTGCATGAGCAGGAAACAATATATCATTAATTAACGCTCTGACAGTTTCTGCGGTGTAATTCCTGTTATACGTCACACCGAGATATTTGGCTACTCGCCAACACGTCTGAAGTTTTAATGTACTAACTCAGACAAAGTCAGAGTATCAATTAATTGTTTCACTTTGACATACATCACGAAAATAAATGCACTACGAGAGAGTGATTATGGGACACTATAATCCTAATAGGAATTTTAGTGTTGGTTGTCTTAGAGCTAGAGCTCATAAACAGCATTTCCATCTCCTTGGATCAAGAGAATCAGTCAAGTACATACATCCACGAATTATGTTGTACAAGACTAAACTCAAAGTCTTCAATTAGGAAAGTACTCGAAGTGTTTGACCATAGAGTTACTAGTGTGTCAAACTGGACAATTTCTCCAACACCTTGGATCAAAAGCATCCCGGACAGTCCCCCGTTTGTTACAAAAAATGTGATATCTAATAATGATAGATATCTCCAGTGAATACTAGAAAGGACTGCCCTTCTAGCATCCAGCCTGTTACTGGGTTTTTGTAACAAGTAGTCAGTATCCTCGTTCAATTATCCATTAGAATTTAGTAAGATTCAATAGTGCTTCAGGATTACAACTGGTAGGCTACTAACTATAGAAATTAAAATTTAATAACTTTATTAATAACAATAAAATTGTCTAGGTATATTAGATCAAAGTAAATTATAGTAATGAATTGAATATAATATAGGATACAAATCCCAACACTTCTCTCGTGTACAGTAGTATTGCGCTGAAGGCACATATCACATCTTTATGGCTTTTAAGTACTGTCTGGTACATTGTTAACACTTAATAACATAATACATATATATACAAGTAAGTTTGTGTGTGTGTGTAAGTGCTCTAAGTAGTTTGCTGTCTCAAGACTCGACTAGACTTAACCAGTGACTGACTAAAAGTCCTCACATAAACTAACTTCTTGTCCAACCTGGCAATCAGAACAGCTTGCTTGAACAATAAAGTGACTGTTAAGCCGAAGAGCAATATAACAAGCAATAGCGATACGGAATCAGGAACAAGGAGATAATATAACAACACTAAGTAGGGACCATCTGCAGATCCTCCACAAAAGTCACAAAACTCCCATACTACTGAATCTAAGTTCAGCATTAGAAAATCCCCGACTGTGACAGTACACAGATACCAGTACAAATTAGGTCAGAAGCTACAGCTCAGGACCTGAGTTTCTCAGAGTGTCTATGCAACACACAACCTCACAACTCTTGGAATGACAGCTGGGGTCATCTGCTAACCAAAGAAAAGTGTTGAAGGAGATGGACGGAAAAAAAGTCCTGAGACGTCACTTTTTGATCTACCTACCTGATTAATTGTAGGCAACAGCAGGCAACTACCCCTCATCTTTGCAGTGGTAAAGAACCTGCGTTCCTGTCATCTGGACTGACTATTCAAGGCTATAGACTCTGTGAAGAACTAGTCGTTGGGTTGTCATTCAACACCTGTGATACCCCCCCACATCATCAGTAACGGCTACAATTTCTACAAGAAGGTGTCAACCTCAACCAGACACCCCAGTATAACTGTACATATTAGCGTTGAATTCAAATGTCATTTTTCCATTTCATTTTTCATTTTTTCTTTCAAGTAGGATACACTCATGTTTTATTGTTTTATATTTTCATTAATAAATAATAAAGTGTTTATCTTTGTGAATTATTATTCCTTTTTCTATTCATTAATTTTCCTGAGGAGGAGCCAGCCTTGGTAATACTGTCTGAAGTTGTTACAGGGCTGAGTAAGCCTTCACAACAGAGATAGTAATATTTTTGTAATAATGCAGGTGTGTAATAATGCAGGTGTGGAAATATAAACACATATGCAGTATAATGTGATCCTTTATTGACAACGTTTCGCCCACACAGTGGGCTTTTTCAAGTCACAAACAGATCTACCTGGGGTGTATGTATGTATGTATAATGTTCGCCAAGACCAGGGTCCTGGCACGGGTCTTAATCTTGAGATGACCCGTCTCTGGCTCCTGAAGGAGAACTGATTCTTCACTGTTGCAGCATATGCTGCTCAAGCACTGTTCCGGACAGTTCAGCTAGTGTGCCTCATAAGCCACTGAGGTTACTCCATCTCAGCTGTTTCCTGAGCTGGGGACTGGGCTCTGTCTGCTCTGATAATCTGCAGATTCATGGCATCCACTGTTTTCTGCTCTGTCAGTAAGCACACCCTCAGGAGTGTGCTGACCATCTTCCGGAACATGCTCTGTTGTTCCGTGGAGGTGACCGTGTTGCAGATAATATCCGTGAATGCCTTGATGAGTGTTAAGAGATCCTCCCTGTTGAGGGCCTTCGTTGTCGGTGGGTTCGAAGCAGTGGATATTATCTGGGATGTTGTAATCTGTGGGGACTGCTGAGGGTTGTATTTCTTCACTGTGCACACCGTGGCTTGTTGCTGTATACCAAGTTGTGTACCCGGCATCTGCTGGTGAGGTGCAGCCACAGGTTGCATAGTAAGTGTGCCAGCGAGGCCAGTGGGGGGACTCGTGTAGTGCGTGTCTGCTGATTGCGTTGCCCAGATTGTTTCCTGTTGGCGCCGCTTGTTCCCCATGTTTTTGTTTCTTCGTTGCGGTAGTGGGGGATGATGCTCCTGTTCATGACGCCTGGTTGAGTCTTCAAGGGTCGGAAATTCCTGGGCATTGAGTTGGGTTGCCTGATGAGAGTTCTGCAGTATGGCAGGATTCTCTGCACCCATCGTCTGCTGAGGGTGAGCTCTGCCGTGCCTGCTGTCTCGTCGTTGGTGTCTTCCAGGCCTCACGAATTCTAGTGAGCCTCTCAGGGCATCGAGGGTTCCAGGCATGGTGTTTCTGCCTGCAATTCGGGCATCGTGGAGTGGGTGGCGATGCATTCTTCAGCTTGGTGATGCATTCCTCGGTAGGGTGGGGCTGGCTGCAGACACCGCAGATTACTCTGTTCGGACAGAGTGCACCCAGTGTCTGTAACTCTGGCACATTGCAACAGCGAACTGGTTCTGCCGTGAAGGTCCTGACATCGTACCTGCCCCAAGAACCGAGGTCATGCTGGGATGGCAGCGGTCCTACATGCTGAATGAGGACCTGCCGGGTTGGTGCGTTGCCGCCGATTTTGCCTTGAGACGTGAGCTGACACGACACTGGGGTGAGCTGCTACTGCCTCGATGGCATCATCAGCGGTATCACATCACTACATCCTTGGTGACCTTCTGCGAGAATCCAGTTCCTCCAGGGTGAAGGAGCGGTCTGTCTCCATGACTTTTCTTCAAGGTGAATGCATTTCTCTGTTTGATAGGAGTCAGTATTGGTTCTTCCCTCAGGTTGAACCATATCTTGAACCTCAGTTTGTGCCGTGTTTCCAGGTGTGTAACCACGCCATAGTGGGTTTTGTGTTCCCATAAGCCTTTTACCTGATATCTGGAAGTGATTTGATCTGGTTTACTGCTCTTGGAGGGCGGCGTTCTTACTGTCACATTGATCCATCCTTCCGTATTCTCTGGCTGCATGGTTAGGCTTGTATGTATGCCCCTGCAGAGGGTGGAAGCTTGTCCGTCTATCACAGGTAATGTCCTGATGGTCGTGGTTGTGGAGGTAGATACTTGAATGAGGTATTGAAAAGATGTTGGAAACGTGTTTGGTAATGGAGTTGGTAGAGGACTATATATCTCTTCTCGGCAGTGTCTTCTCTGGGTGTGTTGAAGATGTTTAATGCTCGTTTTATTTTCTAAACTCCACTAACCTCGTCACTTCATCAGAGACTGCAGACGACGGGCATTAAACATCTTCAACACACCCAGAGAAGACACTGCCGAGAAGGAATATATAGTCCTCTCCACCAACTCCATTACCAAACACGTTTCTAACATCTTTTCCAATACCTCATTCCAAGTATCTACCTCCACAACCACGACCATGAAGGACATTACCAGTGATAGACAGGACAAGCTTCCACCCTCTGCAGAGGCATACATAATCCCTTGTAATGACTGCAACAAATTATACGTGGGCGAAACATCAAGGGACCTCCAAACACGTGTTTCAGAACACCAATACGCAAGCAGGTCTGACGATACAAGGAATGCCTGTGTACAACACCATAATTCACACAACCACTTGATAAACTACAGAAACTCAAGACTTATCGCCACAGAAGACAACACTAAATACCAAGAATCCTGGAATCATCACTTATTTCTATATCCGACAACTTCAACCAGAATAGTGGCTTCTATAACATAACTGAACCACTTGCCAAGAAACTTCTTTATCGCTATCCCACATAAGAACATAGGAATGGAAGCAGAAGGTCTGCTTACAAACTTATCCAATCTCCTTTCCAAGCTACCCAAGATTTTAGACTCTATAACCCCACTCGGTACATCATCAGATGCAGCATTCTCCACCTGACCTCAGCATTCTGAACCTGACTATAAATACTCGCATACTTTCCACCCCAGGTAGATCTGTTTGTAACTTGAAAAAGCCCACTGTGTGGGCGAAACGTAGTCAATAAAGATCACATTATACTGCATATATGTTTATATTTCCATTGTGTCGGTACTTTATACCATTTATTTCCAATGCAGGTGTGTAATGTTAAGGTGACAAAAGTGATAAGCCACAGAAGAACCAACATATTTCCTCGGATTTCCTTACGTAATTTAATAGGTATTATTATTATAATTAAAACAGAGTTCTAAACCCAGTGGGGTCATAGAGTGAATTAAGTTAAGTGGAAATATTAGAATATTAAATGAATTAATATTCTGATAAGAAAAATGTATTACACACCGAGAAATATCACTAAACTGGAATAAACATATGTGTATAAGGTAGGAGAGTAGGAGACAAGGAGAGTAGGAGACAAGGAGAGTAGGAGACTAGGAGACAAGGAGAGTAGGAGAAAAAGGGAGGTAGGAGACAAGGAGAGTAGGAGACAAGGAGAGTAGGAGACAAGGAGAGTAGGAGACAAGGAGAGTAGGAGACAAGGAGAGTAGGAGACAAGGAGGTGGGAGACAAGGAGGTAGGAGCCCAAGGAGAGTAGGGGGACAAGGAGAGTAGGAGACAAGGGAGTAGGAGACAAGGAGAGTAGGAGACAAGAAGAGTAGGAGACTAGGAGACAAAGAGACTAGGAGACAAAGAGAGTAGGAGACTAGGAGAATAGGAGCGTAGGAGACAAGGAGACTAGAAAAGTAGGAGACTAGGAGAGTAGGAGACTAGGAGATTAGGAGAGTAGAAGACTAGGAGACTAGGAGAGTAGGAGACTAGAAAAGTAGGAGACTGGGAGACTAGGAGAGTAGGAGACTAGGAGAGGAGAGTAGGAGACTACGAGACTAGGAGGCTAGGAGACTAGGAGAGTAGGAGACTAGAAGAGTAGGAGACTAGAAGAGTAGGAGACTAGAAGAGTAGGAGACTAGAAGAGTAGACTAGGAGAGTAGGAGACTAGGAGAGTAGGAGACTAGGAGACTAGGAGAGTAGGAGACTAGGAGAGTAGGAGACTAGAAGAGTAGGAGACTAGAAGAGTAGGAGACTAGGAGAGTAGGAGATTATGAGAGTAGGAGACTAGGAGACTAGAAGAGTAGGAGACTAGGTGACTAGGAGAGTAGGAGACTAGGAGAGTAGGAGACTAGGAGAGTAGGAGACTAGGAGGATAGGAGAGTAGGAGACTAGGTGACTAGGTGACTAGGAGAGTAGGAGACGATGTGACTAGGAGACTAAGAGAGGAGAGTAGGAGACTAGGAGAGAAGGAGACTAGGAGGCTAGGAGACTAGGAGACTAGGAGAGTAGGAGAGTAGGAGACTAGGGACTAGGAGAGTAGGAGAGTAGGAGACTAAGAGAGTAGGAGACTAGGAGACTAGGGGACTAGGAAAGTAGGAGACTAGGTGACTAGGAGAGTAGGAGACTAGAAGACTAGGAGAGTAGGAGAGTAGGAGACTAGGAGGCTAGGTGACTAGGAGACTAGGAGACTAGGAGAGTAGGTAACTAGGAGAGTAGGAGACTAGGAGACTAAGAGAGTAGGAGACTAGGAGAGTAGGAGAGTAGGAGACTAAGAGACTAGGAAAGTAGAAGACTAGGTGACTGGAAGAGTAGGATACTAGGAGAGTAGGAGACTAGGAGATTAGGAGAGTAGGATCAATCTGTTCCACCAGTTGAGGAGAAAGACTTAGCTCCCACTGACTTCCCAGACGAGGTCAAGCATTTGTTGACTCTGTTGAACAAACGTCGTAAAGCCATTGCCTTACCAGGTGAGAAGATGGGTATAACGAACTTATTGTCCCATCGTATTCCACTTGAACCTGGTACTAGACCTATCTATATACCTGCGTACAGAATGCCTCATTCACAAGTTGCTGTCGCAGAAGAATTGATCAATCAAATGCGTGATGATGGAGTTATTGCACCTAGCAATTCACCTTGGAATGCGCCCTTGATCCTAGTACCTAAGAAGGATGGTACTTGGCGCCCAGTGATTGACTTTAGGAAGTTAAATGCGAAAACTATTCCAGGAAATCGCTTCCCACTCCCTGTACTGGGTGATCTTTTACGTAACATCGGAGATAAAGTCTTTTCAACCCTGGACTTGTTACAAGGGTTTTGGTAAGTCCCTCTTCACGAGGACAGCCAAGATAACTGCATTCTCCACTCCTACGGGGTCATTATCACTTCCTCTGTATGGCGTTTGAATTACGATCCTCCCCTATCACGTTCTCAAGGCTCATGACTATTATCTTTGAGGTCTCATGGTAATGCACTTATGGTGTACTTAGAGGGAGTAATCGTCATGTTTAAAGACGGGATACACCTTGAAAAGATTGATGTAGTACTTGGAAAGCTTGAAGAAGCCAATTTAAAGATCAAACTGTCTAAATGTCAATTTTTCAGATCAGAAATTAAGTTTCTTGGTCATGTAGTCACTCCTAGAGGGGTTTACGACTGACCAAAGTAAAGTAATGCAGTACTAAATTTTCCAACTCCCAAAACTGCTGATGCTGTAAAATCCTTAGTGGGGTTAGCAGGTTTTTATAGATCTTTCATTGCCAATTTTTCTTCCCTTGCTGCTCCTTAACTGAGTTGCTTAAGAAAGGGTGCTCCTTTTGTTTGGCCTTCCTCAAAAAGAGCATTCCAAAACTCTAAAAGAAAAGCTAACATTTGCTCCAATTTTGAAATTTTCCCGATTTCTCTAAGCCCTTCTATCTGAAAACTGATGCTGTTCTATTGCATAGGTGCCGTACTAGCTCAAAAAGACTTATGGCAAGTACAACGCAGTTGATTTGCTAGCCGAGTCCTTACGAAGGCTGAACGTATTATACAGTAACTGAGCAAGAAGCTTAGCAATTGTATGGTCTTTAAAGCACTTCGAGACATTATTTATCAGTACTCTGTTATGTCTTGACAGACCACGCCCACTGATACCTTTACTCCCGAACAAAACAACCTACTGGAAGGTTAGCCAGATGGACCTTGACTATCCAAAAGTTCAATCCCACCTTTGAACACTTACCTGGGAAGTCAAATGTAGTCGCCCGATGCCTTTTTTCGTGACATGTTAGTATAGTAACTGCAAACCCTCCATTTAGTGCTGGGGGATGTAAAGAATGCCAACGAACAGGACCCCATGTGGTCTGGGTGTGATTCGATTCCTGCTCCAGGAAGATCTTATTCTGACTGTGAAGCCACCAGCACCCATCAGTGACTTTGTCCTGAACAAGAATTACTGTATCGAACAGCCCAGTTGGGTACTCCCAGCAGAAGAGTTTAACCAGTTAGTAATTCCACAGTCACTAGTGAATGTAGCCTTACAGCTAGTTCACGATGTACCAGGTGTTGCGCACCTGGTATGATCGTTCAGTAAAACAAGCCCGATTGAAATACTTTTGGCCTCATATGGCAACTGATATTTCTGAGTATGTTAAAAATGTAGTGTCTGCATGCACATAAAGGTAATGCTAATGGCCCTAATCCAATCCAAGTGTATCCAATACTAGCGAACCTTGGGAAAGAGTTGCGCTAGATTGTTAACTAATTTCCAATGTTCCCTCCAGGGCAACAAACATCTGTGTGTTATGGTAGACCATTTCACCAGATATTGTGAGTTAGTTCCTATTGCAGATAAGACTGCAGAGGGCAGTAGCTAAAGGTTTAAAGAACTCATATCTGCAGGCATTTCCACGCTAAGTCCCTAGTAACAGATAATGGAGGTGAATCTGTAATGACATCTTTGAAATTTGTGTACCTTGTACAAGATCTCTAAATCCACCATTGTTCCTCATCATCCTGCCAGCAATGGGGTGCGGAACGTACCCAAAAAGGAAAGTACTTGATGTCTTGAGAGCCACTTCAATCCCAACAGTAAAACTTGGGATGAAGTTATACCCGATGTGCAGTGTGCTATAAATTTGCTTACAATGTTTCCATAGGTGACACTCCATATTATGCATTGTACGGTGTAGATAAACTTTTGCCTTATGAGTTGCATATTTTTAATCCGAAATCAAATTACAACCCT